TATTTCAGACTCCCAGCCTCCTGAACTGTGAGAGAATGAATTTCTGTTGTTTTAAGGCACCAAGTTCTGGTACAGGCACGTGCCACTTAGTGACGGGGATACATTTTGAGAAATATTTTGTTAGGCAATTTTGTCTTTTTGTGAACATCATAGAGTGCACTTACTTATACAAACCAAGATGGTCTAGGCTACTACACATCTAGGCTCAGCGGTATAACCTATTGCTCCTAGTCTACAAATCAGTACACAATGTTACTGTGCTAAGTACTGTAGGCAATTTTAACACAATGATAAGTATCTGTGCACCTAAACATAGAAAAGATGCGGTGAAAATACAGTTTAAAAGATAAAAAATAGTACCCCTGTATAGAGTCTTACCATGAGAAAAACTTGAAGGACTGTAAGTACTCTGGACAAATCAGTGAGGGACTGGTCAGTGGTGGCACCAGTTACACACCATCTTGATTATTGTACCTTTAGACTAAGTCCTGAAATTAAGTTGTGTTAGTACTTTAACCTTGCATTTCTAGAAGAAACCACACTTGGTCATGGTGCATTAGTGTTCTAATATATTGTTGAATTCGATTTATAATTTTTTTGTTAAGTTTCTTGCATCGATGTTCACAGGGGATATTTGTCTGTAGTTGTCTTCTTGCTAATTTTTAAAAACTTTTATTATATTATTAGTTTCAAGTACACAGTACATTGGTTAAACAATTATATAGTTTATAAAATGTTCCCCCTAATTGCTCTTTCTCTACTCTGGCTCTCCACCTAGCATTACCTTACTGCTGACTGCATTCCCTACGCCGTGCTCCCCATCCCCATAACCATCTATCAACTACTAATTTGTACTTCTTTAACCCTTCACCCCATTCTCCCAGCCCCCCATAAACTCCCTCTCCTCTGGCCATCACCAGATTGTCCTCTATATTTGTGGGTCTGTTTTTGATTAGTTTGTTCTTTTTGTTCCTTAGATTCCACATATAAGTGAAATCATGTGATATTTATCTTTGTCTGACTCATTTTAATCAGCATAATAACCTCTAGGTCCATCCATGTTGTTGCAAATGGTAGGATTTCATTTTTTTAATGGCTGAGTAATATTCCATTATATATATATGAACCATAACTTCTTTATCCACTTGTATGTTGGGTATTTAGGTTTCTTCCATATCTTGGCTGTTGTAAATTGTGCTGCCATGAACATAGGGATTCACGGATCTTTACAAATTATTGTTTTGATTTTCTTTGGATAAATACCCAGAAGTGCAATTGCTGGATCAAAAAGTAAATCCATTTTTAATTTTTTGAGAAACCTCCGGACTGTTTTCCATAGTGGCTGTACCCATTTGCAATCCCACCAACAGTGTATGAGGGTTCCCTTTTCTCCGCATCCTCGGCAACCCTTGTTCTTTGATTTATTGATGATAGCCATCCTGACAGGCATGAGATGATATCTCATTGTGGTTTTAATTTGTATTTCTCTGATAATTCGTGACCTTGAGCATCTTTTCATATGTCTATTGGCCATCTATATTTCCTCTTTGGAGAAATATCTGTTCAGGTCTTCTGCCCATTTTTTAATTGGATTGTTTGTTTTTTTGTCGTTGAGTTGTATGAGTTCTTTATGTATGTTGGATATTAACCTCTTATCAGATGTATTATAAGTTCTTGCTGATATTTTTAAAAGTCTGTTTTCTGTTTCATGCTAATAATGTTCTAATTCCTCTATTTTCTGAAAAAAAGTGTAAGACTAGCACAATTTCTTCCTTAAATATTTAATAGAAGTAATAAATATAGTACCTGGCTGGGAGTTTTATTTATGGGGAGGTTTTAAGATATGAATCCATTTTCTTTACTTGATATAGTTGCTCAGATATTATTTTTTTCTTCTCATCTTATAGTAATTTGTGTCTTTGAAAGAATTTGTCTACTTCATCTAAGTTGCACCAGAAGCTGGAACAGATCATCAGCCTTGTATCCATCAACAGCTAAAGGTGGCAGAACCAGGGAGGAGGGGGCTTCTCAGTCCTGGGCCATCTTCCCGTCGAAGCGGGAGAGCAGAGCTCGAGATTGGGTGGCACAGGCGAGGTCACCGGGCCAGTATGCCCCTGGTATACCTGGGCCCCCTGCATTAGTGCCTTGCTTTGAGCCCTGCAGGCAGGGAGAGGTGGCAGGACCAAGCCCCCCACCCCAGCAACAGCAGCAATACCCTCAGCCTCCCGACCTTGTGCCCAGGTGTCGTGACGGCCTCCGCCCTCCTTGCTATTTATACCCCCAATCACCTATTTATTTAATTTATCTCCACCTCACAGTCTCCACCTGTAAATATGTATCCCCCCGGGATGTTGCCAACCTATCACTGGCCTTCTGCCCTCCTCCTGCAATGTGGAAGAGAGAACCTGCTAAGACAGAAGTCAAATCATGTCATCTCTGTATTCAACCCTCCACTCCACCCCCAGTGGCTTCAATGCACCCAAATTCCTTAAAATCTGGCAACTCTTTCTTCTCCCAGTTCTATGTTCAGCATGGTGAACCTACTAATCTCTTCTCCCCTCCCCTGCCCATTAATGCAGGATGAAGGCGGGAGGGGGGGCAGGCATAGACCAGGTGTGTTCTGACCCAAGAAAATGACTTTTGATGAGAGTCAGGTGAGAGAGACCATGGTCTGATTAAAAAACGAGTGTGTGTTGGGTTACTCTATGCCAGGCAGGCAGTGTTCTGCGAGCCGGGGGTACTGTATGTGCTAATAAGTGATGCAAGGAGTGGGAGAAGTGGGGCGAAATTTTAATGAGGTGGCCAGGAAAGCCTCTCTGAGGGGATGACACCTGAGAAGGACCTGAAAGAAGTCAAAGAGTAAGCCACGTGGCTCCACGGGGGAAGAGAGTTCCAGATAGGAAAGAGCCAGTGCAAACAATCTGAGGCAGGAGTAGGTCTGGCGTATCTCAGAAAGAGGAGGAGGCCGATGTGGCTGGATCCGAGTGAGCAAGGTAGGGAGAAGAGGGAAGGAGGCCAGAGAGGATGTGAGCTGGATCATAGCAGACTTGTAGACCGCTGGAAAGGATTTGGCTGTGTCTCTGGGTGAGAGAAGAGCTTGGGGCGGGTTTGGAACAGAGAAATTCTGTGACCTGACCTAGGTGTTCAGGCTGCCAGCAGCTTCAGCAGTCCATCCGTGGGACAAGGCAGTAGGCTTATTCTGGGCTTTGCTAGGTGAGGAAGGAAGAACTAGAGAGAGATAGGACCCTAAAGCCCAGTGAGTGTACTTCAGATCAAGAGCTGCAGGAAGAGAGGATCCTAGAGATCCCAGAGGGTCTTCTTTGAGGATTTAGGAGAATACTGATCACTCCAGGTGTGGCATCATATACAATACTCAGAGGGCGCTTGTCTCAGGAGTGTGGAAAATAATTAGACCTATATTAGAAGCTGCTCTGCTCACACATAGCAAATCTGAAAAGATTCAAAAGGATCAAACAGTTTCTAAGTAACAATATTCGACTAAAAAATGTTCGGAAATAGATTAAGGATTGCAAAATATTTAGCACACAAGGAAAAATATACAGTTTAAAACAACAACAACAAAAAATTACCAAGGATGCCAAAAATCAGACAAATTCAACCCGTAGGAGGAAATAAATCAATCAAAAAGAGGCATCCCAAGTGAAAGGGAAGAAGAAAAACTTAATCTGCAGACACGATTGTCTCTGTAGGAAATCCGGAGAATCTACGAGTGACTAGAACTAATTAGTGAGTTTAGCAAGATTATAGGATAAAAGCTGTATCAGAAGGAGCTGACTCCCCATATCCCAAAACCTTCAACAAGTGTTCCAGCCCTTTTTCTCCCTGACCTGAAGCAAGTCCAGTCAACCCCAAATTCCTATTCTACTGTCCCTGGGTTTTACCTCGTCTCTCTCTCAAACTAAGATTTTTCCTGTTTGGAAACCAACCCAATGGTGACGAAGATTTTGGGAAAACAGAAATCTTGTGAGAGGCATGTTTTCTGAAGAACAATTGGGATCAAAAGTTTTCAAAAAGGAATAGCAAGTAAACACACAGGTCAACATCTCTACCCTCTGGAATCTATCTTACGGGAAGAAGCACTCATGGAAAGTCTTCAATACAAGGATTCCAATGAAAAATTATCCAGAATAATTTAAGAAAAGGAAATAATATAAACATTCAAAGAATTACATTGTTCGCTGACATAGTTTTTGAAGCACTATTAGAAAGATGTCATGTTCATATGTTCAGTGAAATATTTTTGGGATAAATTAATACTAAGCTTGCGAAAAATACTCTAAGTAATAACCTTATACATTTCTCTTATCATTATACATTTAATGCTGAATGTCAGAACACAGCTAATTTTCATTTTCTTGCATTTGCTAGTTGTCTTCAATTACTTTGTACCACTCTCTGAATCCCCAGCACCCCCCCTGCCCTCCAAAGCTGAGGACAAAGACAAGGAAATACATGGGCAGGCGCAGTGGCTGAAAGGAAAACACAGAATCCTAGCTCAGTTTCATTTGCTGCACTTAACAAGTATTTAATCATTCCATTCTTGAAGCAACAGGGAAACAAACAAGTGGGCCTGGAGAAGCAAACAACAATATAGGCAAATAATGAGGCCCCAGGGAGACAGTGGCACTGCTCCAGAAATTGATTTCTTGGGCATTGGGAGGGTGGTCATAGGATTAAATCCCAGCCCCCCTTCTGAATCTCAGGGAAAAAGGTGTCTGATGTGCTGGATGTTTCCCATCACCACGTAGAGCCGATGGAAAAAGGAGTTGACAGCATCTTGGAGGAGACCAGGGTCTTCAGAAGTCCACCTGCTGAAAGTGAGAGGTAAAAGCCAAGTTAGAGGGGATGACTCCCGCTCACCCCCAGCACACCGCACCCCGTCCTGAGACCTGACACTTGAGTGTAACCTCCTATCCGTTACAGAACCGCCCCCCCCCTCCGGCTAAGACTGCTTTTAGACCCTGAGCACTGGCCGCCACCCCCATGTTGGCCCATTCCAGAACTGACACAGCCAGGATCCTGCCTTGCACTCTGAACTCAATTTGAACGGCGTGCTGATGAGGTGGGTTCTCTATGTCCATGGCCAAGCGGACTATCTCTGCCTCCAGGTGGGACTGGAAAGGCACATTGATCATGCTGAGGGAATTGCGGTTAAGGCGCCATCCATGAGCGGCTGAAATGGCCAGTGCCTCAGGCTTGCTCACACCTCAGAGGCTGGCCTTCACCTCAGGCTTCCCCTCCGAAAGGCCATCCCAATCTTGCTACGCACGCGCCCACTCCTGCCTTCCCAGGCCACCTTGGCCTGCCTCCCTCCTCCCTCAGCTCATCCTGTCCCACCGCCCGCACTCTGTGGGGCCCGCCTGCCCATCCCCCAGCCTCCTCTCTTCTCCCACTGCCCCTGCCACCACGCTACCTCAACTTCGCCTCCCGGCTCCCGTTTTTGTCCCCCTACCCCACCCCGCCCCGGGTTGTCCTGTGGGTTATCCCTGACCAATCCGTTGGCCACTGGGCCTCAGGGGCTCGTTGAAAAGGATACAAGACGACGACGAGTATGTCTCTTGATCCTTCAGCCTCTGGAGCTGCATCTCCACCCGGCCCGGAAGCACGCACTGCCCGTGCCACATGGGGAGCCCCTACGGCTACTAATCCCATCCTTTCGATTCCAGGGCCACCCAGGCCATGGTGGCCACCCTGCTCATATCGGGCATCAGGGCCTCCATGATGGTCATAGGCACAGGCGCCACCCTGGTTGTCAGAGGCAACAGGGCCGACCTGGTCGTCAGGGGCAGCAAGGCCGCCCTGGTCGTCAGGGGCATCAGGGCTCTCCTCGCCATTAGGAGTATCAGGGCCACCCTGGTCGTCAGGGCTACCTGGGCCACTAGGGCCGCCAGAACCACTTTGTTCTTCCAGAATGCTAAGAAGACCATGGCCATTTGGGTCTCCAGGGCCACCCTGGTCTTCAAGGCTGCCGAGGCCACCTCCCGCACTAGGCACACCCTCTTCCCCTTCTTCTACAGCCTGTATGGCAGCTGCGACTTCTCTCATCCCTTCAGAGGCCATCTTGACTGCGACCGCCCGCTCAGCCCACGGCTGAGGTACTGAGGCCCGTCAAGACGTTCCACTCTTTCAGGCGACTGCCGACAGGGATACAGTGCGCCTGCGCAAGAACGACGGCTTGACACCAGTTCCCGCCAATCTGGCCCAGAGAGCCCAGCGATGGCTTAGCCAATGAGAACGCCCACACGAAGCTCCGCCCCCCAGTGTGCCTATGCCAATGGAATGGCTTCCCTCCCGCTTGTGCTGAGGCCCTGGGCACGTGACAGTTTCCCACCAAGCCTGCCCGGCCCCACGCTAGATGGTGAACCTAAGACCCTGTGCCAGTGCCAGGACGGTCCCCTCACGTGTGACCTCAGGTCCCCTTTCATCGTTCTCTGGGAAAGAGGCCAGGGCAACAGGGCCAGGCCCTTCACGTTCCTATCTCTGGGCGCCACACAGAGCCGAGCCTACAAGTCTGCTTAGTTGAGCGGGGTCCATCACTGGGGTAGCTCCCAGCAGGAGTCACACTTGTGCCCTGCCTGACCCCAGGGACCCTCCAGCCCAGTCCCTGTGGGAGCGCAGATGGATGGGCTTCGCTCCTCCAGTGCCATTTTTCACTCCAGGCACTGTCGTTCTGTGGTGCCTACCTGCCCCAGGAGTGGGGTAGCCGGCAGTCCCGCTGCCTCCACCCAGGGGCTCCTGGGCTCCAGGCACACACACTGTGATGTCTCCAGGAGGCAGGCTTAGGCCCAGATCAGTTCAGGTGCTCACGATGGACCAGCCGGGCTCGAGGGCTGCACCGCGGGGAGCACCACCCTGTGGACAGGTCCCAGTCGCTTGCCCCACTGCTAGCACAGCTCTCATGGGCTCTGCCTTACCTAGAACAGTCATCCAGCACTCAGGAGTGGGTGATGGGCGGGACTGGAGGTGCCAAGGGTTTTAGCCTGGGCCGTGACCCTACTGGCTGCTGGACTGCTAAGCGCTGGTCCACTTTTGTGTCTGCAAGGGGGTCAAGGCAACAGGGAAGGTAAAGCTGCAAGCGGGCAGGGCTGGGAGTGATGGCAGGGCTCACAAATTGCATTCCCCGGGGAGCCTCCGGTCTGTGCCAGGATCCCCTGATGCCATGGGGAGGTGCCTGGGCCAGCGTCTGGGCCTGGGCCCGGGCCTGGGTCTGAGGGGTGGGACAGGAACCTCAGTTCAGGCTGCTTGATCCCCACCCCATGGCTGCAGATGCCTCCCACCTTCTACATCCAGGTCCAGCAACCTTCCCTCGTGAGGGGCAGAGACCAAGGCAGCAGCTGCCTCTCCCTTGAACTGGGATTTACATCCCCGCCCTCCCTCCCAGTTCCTTTCCAGTCCACGACATCCAAGTTACAGGGGAAAAGCTATATCAGAGAGAGCTAGCTCCCCCAATCTCAGACACTACGCCCGGTGTCCCAGCTGTCTTTTTCTCTGACCTGAAGCAAGTCCAGTCAGCCCTCAAATTCCTATTCTACTGTCCCTGGGTTTTATGTCATCTCTCTCGCAAACTAAGCTCTTTCGTGTTCAGAAAACACCCCAACGGCGACAAGGATTTTGGGAAACCAGGAATCTGGTGAGAGGCACATTTTCTGAAGAGCAATTGTGATCAAGAGTCTTAAAAGAAATAGCAAGTAAACAGGCAGGTCAACTTCTCTACCCTAGGAATCTATCTTTCCTGAAGAAGCACTCATGGAAAGTCTTCAATACAAGGATTCCATTAAAAAATTAGCCACAAAAATTTAAGGAAAGGGAAATAATATAAACGTTCAAGAATTATATTATTCGCTGACATATTCTTGAAGCACTTTTAGAAAGAGGTCACATCCATATATTCCACCAAAGACTTTCAGGAGAAATTAATGCTAAGCTTGCGAAAAATATCTGAGTAATAACCCTATACATTTCCCTTATCGTTACACATTTAACGCATAAGTACAAGTTTAAAACAGTTAAGATATTCCAAAATGTTGACTGTGCTTAATGCAAAATGTCTGGACTCAACTGATTTTCATGTCTTGCTTTTCCTAGTTGTTTTCAATTACTTTGTACCACCCTCTGAATCCCCAGCACCTCCCCTCCCCTCCAAGCCGAGGACAAAGGCAAGGAGATATGCAGGTGCGGTGCAGGCTGAAAAACAGACCCAGAATACTAGAGCACGGTTTTGTTTGTGGCACTTAACAAGCATTTAATCACCCCATTCCTGAAGCAACAGGGAAACAAACAAGTGGGGCTGGAGAAGCCAACAACAAGATGGGCAAACGATGAGGCCCCAGGGAGAGAGTGGCACTGCTCCAGAAATCAACTCCCTGTGCAGTGCCCTGCTGGGGGGGTCACAGGATTAGGGTCCAGCCCCCCTTCCGAGTCTCAGGGGAAAGCGGGGTCTGCTGTGCTGAATGTTTCGAATCACCAGAAAAAGCCTTTGGAAGAAGAAGCTGACGGATTCTTGGAGGGGGCCGGGGTCTTCAGCAGTCCACCTGCTGAAAGTGAGGGGTAAAAGTCAAGTTAGAGGGGGTGACTCCCTCTCACCCCCAGCACACCACACCCCCACACCCCTCCTGAGACCTGACACTTGAGTGTTTCCTGCTATCCTTTACAGAGCCCCCTCTCCAGCTAAGACTGGCTCTTAGGCCCCGAGCACTGGCCACCACCCCTGTGTTGGCCCATTCCAGAACTTACACAGCCAGGATGCTGCCATGCACTCGGAACTCCTTTTGAACGGCCTGCTGGTTGTCTCCGTTCTCTATGTCCATGGCCAGGCGGGCCATCTGTGCTTCCAGGTGAGACCCGAACGGCACAGTGATGGTGCTGTGAGTGTCGTGGTTAAGGCGCCATCCATCAGCGGCTGAACTGAGCAGTGCCTCACGCTTGCTCACACCTCAGAGGCTGGCCTGCACCCCAGGCTTCCCCTCGGGGTGTCTACCCCCTCCTTGCCTCACACGCACCCAGTCCTGCCAGCTCAGCCCACCTTGGCCTGCCTCCGTCTTCCCTCAGCTCATCCTGTCCCACCTCCCCAACTCCGTGGGGCCTGCCTGCCCATCCCCCAGCCTCCTCTCCTCTCTCACTGCCCCTGCCACCACGCTACCCCAGGTTCGCCTCACGGCTCCCATTTTTGTCCCCCTCCCCCACACCCGTCCCGGGCTGTCCTGTGCCCTGTGTCCTAAAGTCACGGTCCGCCCTGTGGGATGGCCCTGACTCATCCCTTGGGCACCAGGCCTCGGGGCCTCTTTGGAAAGGATACAAGACGATGGGTTGCTCTCCTATTCCTACAGCCTCTCGTGGTGCGTCTCCACCTGGCCCAGAAGCACGGGCTGCTTGCGCCACATTGGGAGCCCCTACGGCTGCTGATCCCACCCTTTCCTCGACTCCAGGGCCACCCAAGCCACGGTGGCCAGCTTGCTCGTATCGGGCATCGGGGCCTCCCGGATGATCGTCGGTACCGGAATCACTGTCGTCGTCATATGCACCAGGGTCACCCCGGTCGTCTGGGACAGCAGGGCCTCCGGGATGGTCATGGGCACCAGCTCCGTCCTGGTTGTCATGGGCACCAGGGTCACCCTGGTTGTCTGCGACACCAGGGCTTCCGGGATGGTCATGGGCACCGGTGCCACCCTGGCCATCAGGACTGCCAGAGGCGCAGTGGCTGCTGGGGCCACCAGGGCAATCCTGGCCCTGAGGGTTGCCCGGCTCAATCTGGCAGTCGGGCCCACCAGGGCCACCCTGGTCTTCTGGGCCTTCGAGGACATCCCCCGCACCAGCCACACCCCCTACCTCTTCTTCTGCGGCCTGTATGGCTGCTGCGATTTCCCTGCTCGCCTCAGAGGCCATCTTGACTGCGACGGCCCTTTCGGCTCCCCACCGAAAGGAATGGAGACCCCGTGTGGACGTTCTGCAGGTTCACGCACACCGCCGCTAGGGATCTCTGGGGCGCATGCGCTAAGCTCGGCTATTCGAGTTCAAATGGAGTCGACCGGTTCCCGGTTCCCGCCAAGCCGGCCCAGAGAGCCCGCGGACGGCTTAGCCAATGAGGACGCCCCACGAAGCTCCGCCCTTCCCCAGTGCGCCTGTGCTAATGGCATGCCCCCCCCCTCCTTGTTTGGGCTTAGGCCCTGGGAATGTGTCAGTTTCCTACCAAGTTTGCTCCGCACCACACATACAGGTTAACCTAAGGGCCTGTGTCAGTACCAGGATGGTCTCCCTCACATGTGACAAGCTTGCTGACCTCTAGTCCCCTGTCATTGAGCTCTGGGAATGAGTCTGGCACTATGGGGCCAGGCCCTTCATGTCCCTGTCTCTGGGTGCCACACATGGCCTGAGCCTGCGAGCCTGCATAGTTGATTGGGGACCATCCCTGAGGTGGTTCCCACCAGGAGTCACACTTGGGCCCTGCCTGACCCCGGGGACCCTCCAGCCCTCTCCCTGGGGGAACTGGGATGGTTGAACTTTGCTCCTTCATCACCATTTCTCAATCCAGGCACTGTTGCTATGTGGTGCCTGCCAGCCACCGCATCCCCCCAAGGTCTCCTGGGCTTTAGGCACACAGAGTGCAATGCCTCCAGGTGGCAGGCTT